GGATCCCAAAGATGAACTTCTTTTATCTCCTGCCTATGTTATTCCCAAACTTTTGGACAAGGTGGTTTAAGTGATCGCTCTCATTCATTGTCTTAAAAGATAGGGAGAGTTTTTTCATTATTAGTTTATTGTTAGAATATGTTTAACTTGCAGGTGCATCTGAATCTTAAAGACATTGACGTTTTTGAACTACATGAAGCTTTTGCTGGGCAGTTACTTGCGAATTTGAACGCACTCGACTCTGACTTTTTTTGCAGAGTGAGTTGAAAATTACTGAATTTATCGGTTACTTACTTCAATGAAACTGATCTTAAATTTTTTTAAAGTTACGTCGTTAGGTTTGCTGCCAGCTTCGTTGTTTTCGTACAAGTATTTATTTTAGGAAAAGTTAAATAGGATTAGGAAGTTTGGAAGAATTCCTATGGAAAAATTAAATTTATGGGGCGGTAGTTTATCTCTTGGACATCCATTTGGTGCTACAGGAGTTCGCCTTGCTTCACATGCGGCTAATAGATTGCGAAAAGAAAAGGGTAACTAAAATTAATTTATTGTAGTGGAAATTGATAACTTTATTTGCACTCCAACGGTCAAGAATATACCATCAGTTTCGTGATTATCTTTTTTTTTCTTTTCTGAAAGTAACTAGAAAGGTAACTTGTCTCAATATTTAGGAAAGTACGCTGTAATCGCGGCGTGCGCGTCTGGCGGTCACGGCGTTGGTATGCTCATCGAGACTTATCCGGAAAAGTAAATCGATATTAACTTTTTGTTGTAGTCTTATGTATTTCTGTAAATACCCGTGTTGTACTTAAACACTTATAATATTGTTCTGCTGCGTCCTGATAAGTGCTACTTTTTGGTATTTTTTTGTTTCACCGTTCTTTGTCTCATCAAAAAAAAAAATATATATATATATATAGGATTCGATCTGTTAAGTGTTCATAGTATTTGGGTATTTGGTCATCAGAAATACGAGTGGTATATACAGATTTTAGTAGGTCTGAATTAAACCTATAACTTTATTTTCTTCGTTGAAATTTATACGATATTCTGCTATGCTGTCGGCATACTGTTACAGTTTTAGGAATGCTAGTAGAAAGACAAATTAGGCAGGCGTCTTCGCAGCTTATGGCGCAAATGAAGCTATTGTTGGTTTTTTTTTAGGTTGTCAAAGCAGTCGTTGTTTCTAATTTCCAAGTCTGATTCAGTATAATCAGCTGAGTCATAAACATCAGAAGTGTTAAGAAGAAATAGTGCTTTTTTTTGTCAGGAAGAGATTGGATAGTTAGGACTTAAGGCAGAGAGATGATTTGCAAACTTATTGATATAATTCTCCTTTTCCGAGGTTATAGTATTTGAAGTTCTAAAAAATTTGTTTTAAGAGCCTTTACTTTGTTTATTGCAAATAAGTTGGAAGCTGCAAATGTATTTGACAAGCTATTGTATTTGCTTGAAGACTACCATCAGCTTGAGGTATATTCATCGGTATGGGGATGTTTACTAGGACTTACTGTTGAGGTAGCATTCAGTTGTTTACATGCTGTGATGTTTTATTTCCTCTTTTTTTATTGGGTTTTTTCACCTGTGGAGCTGTTAGGAACTGGCGATGAAAATGAAGTACGAGGTGCTGATATACTTCAAGTAGTATTGTTTTGAGCTTACTCTTGTCGTGTTTGGGTACTGTAGTGGTTTATTGTGTTTTTGAGGTCAACCAGTCGGTTGGTCTACGTTGTGTTTTCTTCTTTTTCGAGTCTTGGCAGTGGTTAGGAAATTGGCTGTCTTTTTTTTTTTGCTTAAGTTACTTGGAGGCGAGAGGAGAGAGTTGTTGATGGTATTACCTGTTTCAGTGTGCTTACGTTCAGGACCTTAGTGACAGTGTCGAGCGGGGACCAAAAACAGAAGCTGGTCATTTGATATCTATGGTTTTCAAGGGGGGGTTTAAAAGGTTTTAGAACCTTGATATTTTTTTTAGAAGTATGTTTAGACTGTTGAAGGCCGCTGTGAATTGGACTTACATCATTTTCTCATTTTATTGGCATTTCGACTGAACTCGTTGGTTTTGGTAGGACCAATTTTTTCAGGGCCGAAGAACGTTTATAGGGATTTTTTAAATTGTTTTCGGGGTTAATTCATGAAGGTCTAATACCAACATCTGAACATGAAATAACATTGTTATCACTTCTGTTTGTAACATGTTTAGGCGTTAACAATAAATCAGAACAGAGAAAACTGTTTATAGGGAGATTATTATTTTTTTGTCTTCCTGTCGAGCAGCAACCAAAGCCTCAAATTTTAGACAGTAAATTTAACGTATTGCAAGTGTTACGTTTAGATTATTCACCTCTTCAATAAAGCAAAAATGAAAGATTTACAGATGATTAGTAATCTGGATGTGAGTAACAGGAGTGGCAGTAATTCCCAAAGGTGTTAAAAAAAAAGATTAGTTTAGAGTCAATGAAAAGGGAAGAAGTGAGGAATATAACGGGATTTAGTGCTAAGTAGAATTTGTCTTTACCCAATAATATTGATGAAATGTTGGGAGAATTTTCATAAATTGTTCATTCATTTGTTTTTACAGTCAAACATTGATCACCGTGTTTTTGCATAGAGAGGAGCATTTAGGCATAAAAAGATTGTATTGACGACAGCAGTCTAAATTCTGGAATAATATACCACGTAAAATCCAAAAAATTGGACAATTTTTGTCACTATAGAGAGAGACGTGTTTTCTTCAAACTGTAGTCATCAAAAGCAGAGCAAAATAAACAGTGCAAAAGTTGACAGTGGTTATCCATTTAAATGAGTTGGCTTAGATTCACTGACTGGTAAAACAGTTCTGAAATTCTTCTGTTTACCGTGACCTTATTTTGCATTTTGCCTGCCAAATACAGTCTGAAGGACTAGGTTAATTTATGGAAAGTATAAAGATTTGCATATGGTTAAATATTATTTTTTTCTTCATGTTTTCTACTCAGATCTGCTGAAAGTAGAAAAATAAATTTTTTTTGAGAGGAGGGGGAGAGGGAAAAGGAAGGCTTATAACCTACAATATAACATGTTTTAAATGAGAATTCTTTTGAATTAATTGGTAATTATTAGACAAGAGAATTTTAGCAACAGATTGTTAATTGAACTGTTAATTATTGGTCACCAATTACTAAATAAATTAGGAGGCTATGAATTTCAATTTTAACAGTTAAGTTTAATTAGGGCTTTTTTAATTTTCTTCTATTATCTCATTCTTGGTTTTTGTTAAAACAAAATTAGAGTTGGCATATTGAAATGTCTGTGTTGTTGGTTATTTTGCTGTTGTTTTGAGCCATAACGACATGTAATACTGCCTAATTGAACAGTCGGATTTGTTGATCCATTCATATAGCTAAAGAATTGCCGATAATTGTAAAGAATTGTTGAGATAGCTGGATAAGGAGAAAGTAAGAACTATTAATTTGCACCGGCCTGAGTATTTTGCAATTTTTTAAGTTTACTTTATTTTGAAAAATAATTTAAGCTGTAGAAAGAAAGAAAAAAAAACGGAGTATATTTTTTCTCCTGCTGCCACTATTTTTGTTGTCACTGCAGCTGTCGTTCTAAAACTGTTTGGGTAATAAACTGAGGTAAAAAAGATTTGTTGCAACAGGCCTTCTGGAATTTAACGATACACCGAACAGCTCGGTAAGCAAATGTACAGTTGTTCTGATGAACAGAATAACGTAGCATTTGACAGTTGAATTATTAGCACAGTTTAAAAACTTTTCAAATCATATAACAACTTAATTCTTATCATAAATTTGAACACACTGAATAGTTGAAAAATAAAAAA